ACTGCAAATTGACGCGGCGAAGAAGTTTACTGATAAGTGGAGATTGTCTTGCCAACCTTAAGAAGAGTGCCGTCATGGTATGCAACAAGAACAAGGAGGAACAAGTAGAACATAGATGGAAGTGGGGGATCGAGGAGATTGCAGCAGTGGACCAGCACACATACCTCGGAGCAGAGATCGCAGAAGACTGCTCGTGGAATACACACATGTCCAAGGTGGCCGAAAGGGGCATAGCACGAGCAGGGAAGCTGCACCCAATACTCGCAAACCGGCACCTCGATACACGCATCAAATTGAAGGTTTTAGAGAGCGTAATCGTACCGCCGCTACAATTGTAGGGTACGCCGGAGAAGTATGGGAAGGAAATGAGAAGGTAGTGAAAGAACTCGAGGCGGCGCAGATGAAAGCAGCGAAAACCATCCTAGGATGCTCCACGCGCACAAGTAATGCAGCCGTGAGGGCAGAATTGGGGATCCAATCCCTACGGTCGGCAAGAGACACGAGGAAGCTGACACAGCAGTATTGCATGTGCGGGATGGGAGAGGAGAGGTTGCCGAGAATTGTAAGGGAGGCGAAGTGGGCAAACAAAAAGAGGGGTAGACAACCCACGGAATTGGTCAAAGTTGTAGAGGACGTATGGAAGGGGCTCGACAGCGGCGAAGATGAAACGCTGGATACGGACGGTCAACAGGGGTTCAAGGAGAAGATATCTGCTGCTTGTGCCGAGAGAGAAGAACAGAATCTAAGGAAAGAATCCACGGATAAGGAGGGTCTAGAAGTATACGGAAGGGTTCAAGGACTACCTACATGGACCAATGGATGCAGGCTTAAGGTCAAATTCAGGACCGGGGACACAGGCCTCAGAGAAGGTCGACGAAGACATAGGACGGTAGACGACGAAGACGACGAGGTCAAATGTGATTGCGGCTTCGAATGCGAAGACCGTGTTCAAGTAATCGCGGAATGTCCGTTGTACAAGAAGGTATGGTGCTGACAATGTCTTAAAAAATGCTCCAGTAAATTTAACAGGTACCGATTAAAAGAGGAATCGGTAAACTTTCAAGCTAATTTAGAGTTAGCTCAAAAAAAGTTTGAAAGCCTTGAAGAAGACTTTGATAAAGCTGTTTTAAATTACGTAGTACTAAAATAGATTATCCGCAGCTGAAGATAGACTCAAAACTAGCATATAACTCAACAGAAAAGTACCTACTTGAACATAATTCAAAAATAAAGAGTCGTCCAACAAAAACATTTTATTATAGGTTCAAAAGTTTAATTACAAGTTTTGAAAATATTGAGTTAAAGCTATAGATATTTTTTTTTAGGTGTGGCCAAAATCGGGTACACCCCGGGTACACCCGGCCCCAATCCGGCCACTATCGGGTACACTTGTTTTTCACAGTCGGCAGCGCCCCGCACTCGAGTTCCGACGCTTCCGACGGCGGGCGGAGGCGGACTCAACGCGGCTAACGCGGCGGGACTCTCGTTTGAAGTGGATCAGTGGACCTCTCTCTCCTGAAACGCGGCGCAACTCTCGTTTGAAGTAGATCTCGCTCCTCAACCCACCAAGTTTCTCGTGGTTAATCTCGGCACTCGCGCCTGAACGGTAGACTGGCATCGGCAGAATATGAGCGATGAAGTAGAGAACACTGCTGTCCTCGCGCAAGGCGCGTGCTACTTCACCACCAGCCATCTTAGGACATAGTTCATGCTGCGTGTACCACCACTCTCTTTATCTTTCCCCATCTCCTGTGGCGAGCCCGCAGTTCCTTGTCTCTTCCACGTACTCACGAGAGGTCGAAGACAAGGAAGTACTATCGCTGTTTAATCTGAGGCCCCACAGCATCCACTGCTTGCTGCTGCTGGATAACTGTACGATGTTCTTCCTACACAACCATGTGCCATATATCTGCGGTCTTGATCGAGACGTAACCACGGCATCCACTGCTTGCTGCTGCTGGATTGCTGTGTATGAACGACCCTCTGCGTACATAACAACGTGCCATACATCTCCGGTCTTGATATGTCTACAAATGTATTCCAGACGAAAGCGACACCCTGATGCCTGTGTGCCTCATGCTTCCGTGGACATATCTGAGCTGCGTCATGCATTATTTGTGTGCAGCTCAAGTGACCACATGAGGTATTGAGAGGTATTCATTCACCGCCGCCTCGCCTGGCCCTCTCACTCCTCCCTTTCCGATAGATACGAAACGAGAACCGAGAGAGTTCCGCCGTCGGCGGTGGGTTGCAGGAGGAGTCTTGCAGGAGAGAGATCCACTTCAAACGAGAGTTCCGCCGCGTTAGCCGTGTTAGGTCCGCCTCTGCCCGCCGTCCGAAGCGTCGGAACTCGATTGCGGGGTGTTGGTGACGTGTGTTCGTGAGCGTGGTCCGCTGGTGGTCTATTGGTCGAATAGCCCAGCCATTTTCGGGTAGGCGAGAGTAAGATCGGGCACCCCTTCGGGGGGTGAGTAGCCAAGATCGGGTGCACCCGCCGGTGGGAATAGGGTCAGGGCCGGGTAGGGGCGGGCGTCCGCCAATCAGATGGCGCCAGGAGGGCGCTGCCGACTGTGTAAAACAAGGTACCCGATAATGGCCGGATTGGGGCCGGGTGTACCCGATTTTGGCCACTCCTCATTCTTTTTTGGTTGTCGAAGAAATCGAAAAAAACGACAAGATCAAGAGCAAATAAATTCTATTTAAGAGGATTTAACTAATATCGAAGATGAATAAATACAGCGTATTAATTTTGATTCATAGAGGAAAGGACGGTAGCTGTACTGGGGCATAGGAGGTGGGTTGAAAAGGCGGGAAGGGATATCAGTAGGATAGACAGACTAGGGAAGACATTTTTGAGCCACCTTTGGCAAAGTAGAAAGGAACGATTGGCCATCGGTGATCGGTCCTGTGGGAACAATGCTCCGTCCTCTCGAGGACGCGTGGTTAATGGTCTAACCGCTAAGGCATGCAAAACATAAGAGTACGCCCCCCCTCCCCCCGCCGCGCGCCGATTATCGCTGTTCCCTGCTCTCGATACCCCTTGCTTACCGTGGGAGGCTCGCCGTCGGCCTCGTAGCAGCACTTGTTGATGACATCCTCATCTTCAGTGTAGTGCAGCACCCGCACCCGCTCGAGCTCTTTCATGATGTCTGTCAGCTCCTGCAATGCATGCCCATTGATGCGCATCGAACGTCTTGGGCGTCATGTCATGCGGTACATATGTTCGGATGAGCGAGTTGCCGGCCCGGTCATCAAGGCCAAATGTACGGGGGGTTCGAAACCGTAACCACCGTTGCAACTTATTTCTTCGTGCCTGTAGAATGAATGCCGTGACTCCCTGGGGCTTGACTACAGATCCCCTTCTACCTTTCTCGGGGCACGATGCAATCAACCGTCAGTTGTGGTTGAAACGTACGTCAATCCAATCAAGGCAGCTCTGTGGCAATCAATTCTTTTGGAGGCCGTAGTATTGCAAGATGGCATCAACAGATCAACCGTAAATCAACCAGAGCGAATCTCCACGCGACGAGGAAGCTTTTAGTGGCTTCACGGATGTTCTTTATCTTGATTTCCTCGTAAGCGTCATGGTCTACCTCTTCTTCGCCATTTGGATATTGCCACTTCACGGAAAACAAATCACTGTAACTCCTTGGTACCACATCAGCACTCAAGTGCGCGGGAGCGGGGGGGGGGGGGGGGGACGCAG